CACCTGAACCCTCAGGTCGGTCGGCACTATTGACTAGACGACTGCCCGGCCTTCCTTCACCGACATCCGCATGGGCACCGACAGCCTCTAAACATCATTCGTCCTAAGACGTAAAAGATCAGTGAAATATCTCGTTTCGAGTTCATTGCTACTCACCTGAGCCGGGCCCGACGCAACGCCCCGGCTGGGCGGGAGACGCAATGCAGAGCCCGCTAACTAACAAAGGAAGAGAGCCGGTGGAGGAGGGCAGCTGCCATCGTCAGGAGTTGCGGCTGCGGTTTGGGAGGGCACATGAGGGTGGGTCATTGGGAACGGAGAGCATTGAGCAGTGGAGACACCACCGTGACTAGTGGTTACGTTCCTGAACTCGGGTGCCCACCGAAACTCAAGGAGGCGTATAACGGCGACAAGACCCGGTTTGCACATAGCACTTTACATTCGGAGGGGAAAAAACCCGGTTTGCACCAACCCTAGGACTGGACACAGGGCACATTGAGCTCTGATGAATTCGACACTAGAAAGCGTCAGACAATAGACCCAGTATTCCCCAGTGGGCAGCTACGCGCGTTGACCAACGCCCAACGGGGAGAGACCGCCCACGGCGCGATAGTAGATTTGTCAAGTTTTGCAAGTAGAGCGGAGCGCGAGTGTGATCCTGTTAACGTTCAGAGCCTCGAAGAGCAGTAGCGAACATTCGCCACTATCTTGCCCTGGGCGCTAGTGACGTTTGAGAGCAACGAGCAACTATACAACGGAGTGGCTCGCCTGATTCTGATTGCCAGATGGAGGACATACACGATGACGAGGAAGGGGCGCAGGACACAATTCACGACCAGCTCTCGGCCACATCTGGACATGGCTAGTCAAGGCTGTACTGCTGCAAGCGGTGCGGGCAAACGGCGGCCAGTAGGTCCGGGTTGAACTCGTACATGAATACATGGGTATCAGTGGTGTTGTCAACCGAGTCAACTGATAGTTGGCTTCAGCATCGAAGGTTCGTCAACAAGATGAAGATGGCTAGAGGAGCGGCACTGCCCGACGATTGAACGCGCTTTCCAGACAGTTCCGGACAGCTGCGTTCGGCTAAGGCGTGCGATGTGGGCGGACATGGATGATTTGACGCTGTCCCAACAAATGTGACGATCAGAGGCGCAACTCTGAGCCTGCGGCGAACTAGCCTTACTATGGTTCTTGCACAAGAGATACACTTGCCCATCGCGGACGACAAACAATCAAGCGCATAGCAATGCCACGGAACGATTCAATGAAATACAAATACCATGGAACGCTGTAATATAAAACGGACCCACAACGCGCCAGTCTAATCGGTCAGCCAGAGCGGTATAGTCGGAGCAAAGTAGAAAGGCGAGGCGGCGCACTTTTACGTTTCATAAGGCCATTCTTGAGATTACCCACTTCCACTGCCGTTTGCATCCCTGTCAGCCGGCCCTACCTCACATGCCCCTAAGCAGTACCGAGACTCTAGACCCAGGTGGCAGGGACCCGGGATGCATACAGACCCCGATAGCTCCCAGCAACGTAGCGAACACATTGCCGAGCAGACACTCAGCGCTATCGATATTGGCTAGTGTTTCACGCCAGAAAGCGACAGCTGCACAAGAGGACCCTGGCAAGCTCCAGACCTAGTTCACGAGGCCGAACGATGTCATAGGTGTCTGCATGTTCACGCTGCACAAAAGCGTGGAATTTGAATTACTCCGATGAACAGCAGACCACGGGCGCATAGATAGACGACACAGGACTGATATGGCAGAGGACCAGAGTTCAGTACCAAGAGCGATGACGTTCGAGCGCACAACGTGCAGTTTTCCAGGGCAGGTAGTGGCGATAGTCAGCGAGAGTAGGCGAGCGGGAGAACAGCCAGGGAGGGAAGAAAGCAAAACATGGCAGGAGTCATAGTCGCCAACGCTGGAGCATCCTGTCAGGGCTCTCATGAAAGATCGGAGTCTGTCGACTTGTCGGCGCCAGGGCGGAACTTTGCAAGAAGGGCCGTGTACGTCTCGGAGATCTGGCGGGATATGCGGGCTCAGAAGCTCAGCATGCATTGCGTAAGACAATGCACCTAACCTTTATCGCACGTGCCTCGCCGTCCGGTACAAAGCGGCAAATGACCGTGGAAGCTTCAAACCATCTTCGCGCCTCATCCGCTAGGGACACGCTGCAAACAAAGTTTAGCAGGGGATATGCGTGGCGTGAATGAGTAGTGTACTGAAGACATTCAATACCCGTGTTGTATGAAGTTCCAAGGAGCCATTGCCGCTCGTCCATTGGGTAAACCTTTTCTGAGCCGTCCTCAGTCCGCTCAATTGAGCTAAATGGGGCACTGACGTTCTCACCGCGTAGATCGTCCGAGTGCTCTTCCAGGACGGCGACGGCCTGCTCAACGTAACGCAGAGCCTTCGCTCTATCTGTCGGGGAGTTCCTGGACAGGAGTATCGTGCAGATGGCACGAAGCCAGCGTGAGAACTTTTCGACGGACAGCGACGCACGGTCGAGGCTGGCGTGAAGAATTGCCTACACAGGGGTAATCAGTTAAACTCAAGGTAGCCGCGAAGTCCTGCTCCATTACCTCTAGGGCGGCGAAGAGTACTGAATGTTCAGTTCCGCTGTCAACCAGGGACTAGGAGGGAAAGATGGCGGCAAATACATACCTTCGACGGGGCTATCCTTTTCCACCCACTGTAACAATGTAGCGATGAGTATCTGAACACATTGGATACCAAATATAGCAGATGCTTCACCAGCATGTCCGCGAATGCTTCGAACGTATCCGTGGCGAGGGCATCAGATCTGACAGCGTCCTAGGTACAAGGTTATTTTTCCGTTCGCAATGCGGTGATGGTCTGGTTCTTACTTGAATAACGTCCAAGAGACTTCTCCAATCTTTTGTTAGACAGCAGACTTCCGCCTGGAACACTCTGAGGATATGAATGAAAGACTTCGCGCGTAACACGTCCTCGTCGGCAATGAGACATTTGTCGTCAAGCAGCTGCTGGATTCGTGCCTTGCATGAGCTTATGGCGCGGAACATACCATCCAAACTCTGCCGAGCTCGGGTAAGCCAAGACCACAACCCTAGCAGGGCAGATTTCGGCATACGCACCAGATCATCACCGGCAACATCGAGTTGCCGACGTAGCAAAAACACTACACGAATGATAAATGCAATACTCCACGTGGAGCGTGCTGTAATGGTGGGACATCATACCTTTCCCTGCAACCGCGGCAAACGAAGCGTTGGCGACGTAGACGTGGAGATCGGTGTCTACGTCGGTGACAGAAGAGGCACAATAGATCTCGAGGAGCTGGACATCCGTCAGCATGTGCTATGCTCGCAGGTAGTTGGAAGAGAGGATGTACTTCTCGCGTGATATCGAATAAGTTCGTAACGGCATCTTCCACGCCCTCCCAATCAGCGCAGCCTTTTACCGCGCAGTTGTAAGCTGTTCTCCACAGCCACGAGATGTCTTTACCGGCAACGGCACGTTGCGCCTTGGAGAGGGATTCGATCAGAGCCTTCCCTTTGGTCGATGGTGGTATGAGATGGTGACGTCGGCGCCGAGCATAGTATGAGAGCCAGGCTCACCGGTGATGAAGTGTCCTATCAAGGTGGGAATGTAGCCGTTGCTTGCCAGGAAATATGACCATCAGCGAAACACGAGATCAGCCAACTGGTGCCGTGCACACCTGCTCACACCGGGCTCCGCCATGAGCTTGACCGTGAGCCGAATGATACAACGGATCAGCGTCAGCGCTTCCATATGCAACTGGTGCCCATCCTGTTTTCGGACGGTATCAAGTAACGCTTCTAGCACCGCGAGTAGCAATGTTTTCATATCCGACTCGTTGGCAAGCTGAGTAGCCAGCAGAAGCATCTTCCGATCGAAATCTGGTGCTTCGGCCATGCCTCGTACTGCTTGAATGGCTAGACAAAGTACCATGAGAAGGGCGCCAGCCTGTCAGTTGAAGCAATGGACCTTCGTTCTCTGACCCTGAAAAAGGTCAGCTGCGTGGCAGGGCGCCGTCTGATGTTCGCACAGTACCTTGATGGACTGCCGCAAGCAGAGCGACGTAACGGGTAGCGGCGCCGTCGTTCGGACACCGGCGGAGAATTGCAGACGCCTTGGAGTATTCTCGTTGCTGGATATGACAAAGGGCCGCTTTGCGAAAGCACTTCGCATCGATCGGGCGGGCCATACTGGCGAACACCGGGTGGGTACCGCAGAGGAACCAGTCGGCGGCCGCCAACCATCGCTTCGCATTGTAGTGCCGGTCGCCGAATTGCCACAATAGCTGCGCTGGTCAGTCAACCTATGATGACAAGGGGAAGTGGCAGTGACGCGAACCGTCAGGCAGGCAGTGGCGGGAACTTTGGGGAGAACGATCTCGGCGTCGTGGATGCCTGTTCGGATGTTATGCGGCAAGCGTGGAGCAGCTGAGGTCTCATGAACGTACATGCGAGAGCCGCCTCGACATCTTGCATCGCCCTGGGGTGGTTCTCGTCTTTCGAACAATGGAACAAGAGTGACAAGAGCAGACGATCCACGCAAGGCAGATATCCCTTGCCCTCAAAAACCACTGCCTTCCGGAGCGCATGCTGATGAACTGCGGTAACAAGCGTACTAAGCAAGTGCTTGTTCAGTGATGGATGCAATATCAGTATAGGGTTGTTCACGTACTGATATTGGGCTAGCGTTCTCAACTCCTGTAAGATGCTGCGAAGGAGATCCGGTCAGCCCGACACCGGCCGAGCTAAAAAGCGTTGTCACAAAAGACGCACTCCGTAACGTTACTGTCAGAATAGCTCATGTGATCGATAATGGATTTGAACGCTGGATGGCGTGTGAATCCAAACAATCGATGAAAGCACAGCATACGAAAGAAGACTGACCGTCAAGTAATTGTGGTTCCGCAGCCTTCCGCCGCTTCAGAACAGCTATCCGCATCCAACGAAGCTGTTGGTGCTCTGGTCTGTCCTGGATAGGCAAGGGGTGAGAACGAGTCTGGTACAAATCCCAGAACAGTCGTGCAGCGCACCCGGTCTGTAGCGGAGTCCAGAGTGTCGATCAGTTCGTTCAGGGCTGCCTCAGCCCGGTCCAGATTGTCAGTATCGTGAGATGAAGATAAATAATATGCCCGCGCTGCGAGCATATGGATGAGGAGAAATGGTTTAGTCGCCCTAACGTTCGCTTACCCAGACTTCGTAGAATAGACCGCTTTGAATGCAAACCCTATTTAGCGAGGTGCGCTGAGCGTGAAACGCACACGATACCTTAAGATCGACTAGCCCGGCAATTGATGCGTCGTCCGACAACTCAATGGTGGAGAATGCTTTTTGCATCCACTTCAGAGCGCTTTGTCCCAGCGTCAGCTGTCCAGCGTCGCCAGGGCCATCTCGGACAGTTTTCAGAATAGACCTCCCGACTTCCAGAAGTTTAGCTGCCAGAGCCACCCGCTGCGGAGATGTTCAGTAACTCATAACAGTGATGCCCATCCTCGCTTACGTCTTGAAGGGGCAAGAGACGCAAGCGCTGATCGTTTTCTGTGTCCACTGAGCGATCGAAGAATGGCGTGTGGGCGCACCGCACTAACCTGTAACCTTCTGCAGCATGAACTCCGCCACGCCATCGTTACCTTCCCTCCATGCCTATTATCGTAATGATCAACGCACGCGTATGGGTGCACGTGCGGCATCCCGGCACCAGGACTTACTGCCTCCATACGACTGGAATAATAACAAACAACGGCCTGCGCCCTTGTTTGTTGATGGGAAGGTTCTGCGTCATCCGACGCTCGAAGCTGTTCTTCGTACTGTTATGGGAGAGAAAAAGCATCAGAAGCTTACTCGGTACTCCTAACGGATATCCAGGAACCTTAGCTGCACATGCCAGGATGCTCGCGGCTACATCGTGCCGACCGACCTCTAACCACGGAAATTAAGCGATCAGTACGGGGTGGAGGACGGAGGACGGGGATGTACTTTACTCACCGGATAGGCTAGTACCCGCTTTACTCGCCAGACGTAATACATGCACGAGTCCTACATTCGTTCATCTATTGAATAACAATGCCTTCAATCATTAGGTACAAACAGAAGACTGACCTTCAAATGGCTGGTGCTGCTCGAGTCCTGCCTCGATAAGACGAAACCCTGCCATCCGTACTCAGGTCGGAGACGTGTCAGCGCTCAAGCTCGTAAGTTTTTGCAGGACGACAGTGCATACATGCCGCCACAACTTCTGGACCGCCGTTGTTCTCGGTACCCTTGATACTACTGGCCGCGTTCCAGAGATACACGCCTGCATTCAGACCGCATATAGTCAGGGCTCGGGATTGCTTCCGCCGACCAGACGCGTACCCTCCCTGTCAAGAGCATCTGCAACATCCTGCCAGTCTTTGTTTGCTTTTGGACGTTGCTGCAAAATAGCTTCAGCCCGCGTAGCAACCTCGTCTAAGTCTGGGACGAGGAACGACCAGGAGGAGCGCTTGGACTCGCCGAGGCGCGGTTTGATAATGACGAGAAGGTCTAAACACACAAGCTATTGAGGGGACCTCGGTGCTTGTCTCTTTGTGCCGAACTCACCCCGAATCTCCTGAAATATCGGCTGAATCGCCGCGACCTTGCGCTTGCGAGCGGACATGTTTGCCGACGCGGACGATGGACGTCGCGGAAGAAACGGAAGAACTAGAATAGGGGTTAATGCTGTGACTAGTGACTATACGCGAATCGTCATAGAGGCGTGACCATAAGCCATTTTTGATGACTTCGTGACCAGGTTGTGATTCCGCGTGCGGAGATGTCACAGCCCTCGTTCTCCGAGAGTTCACGCAAGCATGACATCCGCACAAGAATCGCAGCCCACACATACAGCACAACTACCCGTCGATGTGGTTGCGAGAGTCACAAGAGTCAGTACTGGTTCTATCAGATTTCAATGGCGGAAATAATACACATCTCAACGTCCGTTCTTCTCGAACCTAGGAGGCCAAGCAGGACGGCATCTTTGCGGGGTTATCTTCAGGCTTGGTCGGAGGTCAGTATATTTGTGCACGAATGTGGACTACACTGGGAATTGGTGGCATATGGGACAGTTCTGACGATGTCCCCGCTCACTTACAGCTTTGATCGGGCAACGTTTTTACAAGCTCGACCGGAACAAGACGATCCTCTGCGGCGTTGGTATGTATTCCGTTTAGCTCAGTTGCGAGCCGCCTGACCCACTCATTGCTACAATTATCGCGTAACACTATGGTCATCTGGTTGCTGACATCTCGCGTTCCAGTAACCGGAATCCTTGTTGGCTATCAGTTCACCCAATTATTCATGACATCCAATCTCGCAAGGCTGCGCATGGAGCAGGCACAGCTCGCTAAGACAGAGTCGGCCGAGCAGCCTTCAGGAGCAGAGCCGGCCGCATGAGCCACCAGTCATCTGAGTACGGAACGGACGTATGGTGCAGTGCATATATTGCAGACCTACCTTCTCGACCCTGTCTTACCCACCAGGTCCGAAACAGCAAACCATAATCTTCATCTGCATCGCACATGTACACGTTCCATCCTACCGAATGTGAGAAGCCGCCCGAACGAGCTTGTCCCTGACAATCACCGCTCGCATCCGGATACAAGCAAGGTACCAATGCGGCACTCTTCCCTGCCGCACGCCGCTCGTATGCCGTACTTGTGGGCGCGGTGGCGGGCAGAGCCATTTGAGTTGCGGAGTTGCAAGCTCCACCCGAGGGCTGACGTTGCCCGCAGCGAAGTGCGAAGGAGCCCCATGGAAGCCCAGAGCACGCTATCTGCGCGCGCCCTCCAGTGCTGGTTCTCTGTCCTGCAAAGTGTAGAGTTGCCACCTGCCAGAAAGCTTTATGGGCACAACCCAAAGCCTTGGGACACGCGTGGGTGGCGGGGCGCATTTCCGTCGGAGGTGGCTATGCTCCTGTCGCGCTGTCCGAGTTTCGCATGCGCAGTGCCTCCGATTCTGCCCGCCCCCACACGCGCTTTCATCTGGAATAGTGCCGATAGCGATGGAAAAAGGTCATTGGCGAGGCTCCGGCCGCCCCTGCGCACTGAGACGGTTTCCGCACCCCTGTAACGTTGCCTGTCGGGCTCGCTTTTGTTGACGTCTGTGCGGTGCACGCACCTGTAAGACTGTCCCAGCCCCAATTTATTTCACGGCGACTTAGCAGCCGTGAGCTGCGCAACTCCGCCATGCCGAGAGCACAACGCTCCGTCCGCTCGCTGTAGGGGTCTCCCTCATGTGCCGACGAATCTTCTCGAATGCTGTCCACACTCGCCTTCGGGGCGCGCCCAAGAGCAACGCAATGCAGTTCCACGCGCAACCATTAGGAGACGCCGCAAAGGGCCGCACGCTTCTCGTCATCGGCCCAAATGGTCGCAACCGCGCGGCAGCTGCTCAGGAGCACCGCATCTCCATATCCACACCTGTTTTTTCTGCGAAGATTTCGCCTGCGGGCGGGTGGCGATTGGCCCAGAGCGTGGGCCTCGGATGCTGTGCATGTGGATGAGTGAGGCTGAGGGAGCCCCCTCTTTCGTCCTGAGATGATGAGTGGATGACGGTGGGGTGAGTGCGATCCGGAAATACGATAGCTATCAATTGTCTCCCCGGTGGTCTCGAAGTTTCCGTCTGTTCGCACCCAAACCAGTGCTCAGAGGTTTGTCCGGCCGATGCTGAAGCGTGTACACGGTGGGCGGACCTGTCATCGCACGGGAAAGAACCTGCGTTGCTCCCGCCGAAACCTGTTCTTTACCCAGGCCGCGTAAGTGCTCCGTTAGTGCATCGAACGACCGTCAAGGTGACGACGTCGGATGTCTGATCCATACCCGGCCGCCGCACGGGAACTGCCACTCGGTTCGCAGGGTTGCATGGGGATACATGTTTCGCGTGTTATATGCAACTCTGTAGCTATAATCGGTTTACGAATACAAGTGTTGTAATGATGCCTTCTACTGGAGAGATGCGAAAGTGATGGATGCGTGGTTGTATGCAAGTTGATCGTGCGACGAAAGGAAGCGGGTGAATGTGACGACAATGCAAAAAGGGAAAAGGCTGGATGACTACGGGTAAGAGCCCAAAATATATGACATGTACACTGGTGAACGGAATGACTTGACATGTCGTGAGTGATGAGAATACATATGTGCGGTCAAAGTGTCTGGAGGTGAATGTACGATATGCGAAATTATAAAAATATCAATCAGAGGGTAAATTACAGTCGACGATTTTGTTGGCGATTATACAGAGGCGACAGGTGCCGTGGCATGTCGGTAACATAAAACTGAACGCCAGGTGGACCTGCGTTCGCGAATGGTGCGGGGGCAACGCCGTTCTGGACAGGCGCATGGTGATGCACGGGGGCCGGCTGCTGGTGCTGGTGCTGCTGGTGCTGGTGAGCACGATGGCCGAAGTGCTGTGCGACCGTTTCGGCCGCAGGCGCAGGTGCACGGGGCCGGTTCCATGCAAGTTCCGAGAAGTGTGGAAGCGTGGGTACGTTCTCGCGGAGATGACCATGTACTTCTTGCGGGCTGGTTGACGCAGACTGCACGACCATAGGAACAGATGGCTGTACTGCGTAGCCATAGTCTGCCGAGGCCACCGGCGGCTGGTGATACCGCAGCCGCGCCTTCCTAGAACGATTGTCCTCCTCAGTTGGGGAGCAGGCGAGAGAATAGAAGTACAAGTTCTAGAAGATATATGAGTTACATGTCCGATCCGGCAGACAAACTCCAATGGCTCACCTGCGGAGCAGTATAGGCGCGCTGTCCGTCCACGCGATACGCAGACGCCAATGTTTGGGGCGCAACAGGCTGCTTAACGTTGGCAGACCATGCAGGACTTGGGTTGGCGGAACCAGGCTTAACACCGCCAGGCGAGGCACCAAGGGACAGCTTCGCGAAGTGCTGAAGCGGCTCAGATGGTGATATTGAGCTCGCAGAGAGATGACCATGATGACGTTCCTGGGGTATCGAAAGAGAGAGGTTCGTCGGTCGCCTAGGTGCCTTCGCTGGATGTGAGTACGCTTGGGTGGGCGAGAAGGCATCGGTGGCCGAGCGCTTAGCGCTAGAACGCGGCGGGGTGTGGTACTCGGCAGACGCCGAGGTAGTTGCATAGTGGTTCTCGCGCACGGATAGGGTATAGACGGGTCGGCTTGGCGAAGAGGACCGTGCCCGCTGAGACGGTGCGGTGTGAGAAGGGTGTACAGCGGGTCGATGCGGTCTTGAGTGGGGGTGTGCACGCACGCGAGGCGTGCGACGCCACTGTCTCGAATCCCGCTCCTTCGCCATGACAAGGCCCTGAAGTAAGTTGAGCCACGAGATGTAGGTCGTCTTGTCTACATAGAGCCCGAAGTCAATGCCAAGCAGGAACTCCCGTTCCATGCGATTAATCTCCTCCAAATCTATCCCCGAGACCTCGGACCAAGTCTTATTGGTGTACGTATTGCTGCAAAACTGGTCAGCGATGGACAAGATAGCGAAGCAAAGCAGTGCATACTCGTCAAGGAACTTGTTCGCCATCATGAGCGCTGCAATAGCGACCCGGTACTCGCTGCCCGACTGGCCGTTCGTGAGGCGATTACGGATTTTTAGGCGATAGATGTAGTGTAATGCGAGAACGATGACAGATTGGCTGACTTGTGTTGTTTCCAGAACTTTTTGCATGAACCGAACGAAGTCGGGTGAGACAGCCAGCTGTAACGAAGCGGTAGCCGAACATGGCTTGGGTATCGAGGTTTGTCGTGAACTCGACGGCGACGCGTCGCGGGAGAGTGTGGAGAACCACAGGTAGCAAACCATCTCGCACATCTTCTCTGCGAGGAAATGCGATGAGCGATGTGTTGACCTCGTGAGCCAGTCGACTGGCTCTGGCGGTGGCGAGTACACTTGAGCGCGTGGCTCCTCGTACACTTCCACGGTGGGCTCCATAGGAGACGGCGGGCTCGGAGCCGTGCGCATCGGTGGCAACTTAACAGACGCGGCTGCATGCGTGTACCACTGCGAGGCATCCTCTAGTTGCGGTGGTGTTACTGCAAGGCGCAAAGTTAGGCGAGCTCAAACTGGCGCTTTTAGATGTAACGCGCTAATTTAACGCGACTCACTTGGCGAAATACGCGACAGCTGGCTGTCCAACTGCGTAATCGGCGGCAGAGTGGTGTGCTGTTGTGGAAGAGGTTGTACGACGCGTCTGTGAGGATGTGCTGAGAGCGGCGGTGTCAGGGGCAGCTCCGCCTTGGGTGGCCGCCAGGCGGACCAGGTGTGCGCGAGCTCGACAGGCACCGGTCGTGAATGAGTAGACATGAGAAGACGTGAAGGAGTCGGAGGCATGGACGGAGGAGTATAGAGAGCCATGGCGGCCAGGTAGCGTACGGGAGGGACTTCAAACGAGAGGAAAGGGCGGTAACATTTAAGTGGCGGAGTGGTTTAAAGAGAAACGGACGGGAAGATGATCATGGCAGGGGAGTTCGGGCTCGGGAGCGGAAAATTGTGAATATGGTGAAATTCTCGGCTAGAAACGAACAGGGGACGCGGGACAAGGAGAAGGTTGCCTGAGTTCGGTGTCGCTGGGACATCGAAACTGGCTCGTAAGCGCAAGGACGATTCGAAAGCGTAGATTCCATCCGGCCACAGCGCTCAACCCGAGATGGCCCACCCTTTTTCGCTTATTTTTCTCGAGCGATCAATCCTGCATCAATTTCATCCGAATCTACCGCCAACGCCTCTCCTTTCGCAGATCCCAGTCCCCCTGATGATCTCAGCTGCCCAGAACCTTGTCTTGCTCCCATTTCCAGTCCGCTTTTTTCGTTTTTCTCTCGGCCCCATCCTCCGCCGACACCGATCAATTTTTCGGTGATGGGGATTCCCCACTGTACCTTTCCTCTAGTTTGGCCCAGAATGGACACATTCCCTCACGTGCAGCTCTCGCACGCCCCCTTTACGGCAACTGCCCACGGTCTCAGTCGCCGTGCCGTCGGGCGCGCCGGGTCCTGTCCCGCGGATTGTGCAACAAATGCGATGCTGCGCGACCAAAGCAGCCCCGGCAGACCCTGTCTGACCCTGCCTCATTTGGGCGACTCGCCCCCTGCTGCGTGTGGCAATCTTCCGGTACCTCCGCGGTCAATAGTGTTTTGTCCGTAACCACATTTCCATCTTTTGCCCGTATCTTCCGTCCTAATTGGCAGACCGTCAACGTACGTTCTCGCCCGCAGCCTGCCAACAAAGCCCACCCTTCCTGTGTTCAACCAGCTCCCACTTACTTGTCTTCTGTTCTCTCGCCGGACGCCTTTCCAGAATTCAATCACCTCCTCATCGACATGTGCTCACGCTGTGGCGTTCTCCCCCATCTCTCACCGCGGCGCAGCGTCGCCCCGTTCTTTATTTGCGGTACGCTCTAACAAGTTTTAACCGCCCTCTTGATACCGCGGGAACAAACGCCTTATGCAGTTCATCCGGCTCTCTGACTCGCCTTTGGTCCGGATCCGCCACGCTATCCTCTGCTCGCGGCCCTTGTGCGATGACACACACCCGCGGCAGGAGCGCACCCATTTCCCCAGCCGACATCTCGCCCCGCTGCTTACCAGATCCCATCGCGGACGGAGACACCCTGCCCATTTTGTCGTTGACCTTCCACTGGCAGAACATTCAGGGTGTCTTCGAGTGCGGTTCGACGTGCGCCCACTCCAAAGATGTGTGTTCATCCCTTTGTGCACGTCGTCTCCATTCTTGTGTTAGGCAATGCTTCATCTACCCTGCGAACTCCATCTCCGTCTCCGGGCGCGAGTTCCTATCATTTCTATGGATGGTGTACGTACACGCTTTGTGCGATGCATTGCTGTTGTAACAGCGGGAAGCCTTCACAGAAGACATTCACGACAGTTCTTCAGCTGTAAGTGAGCCAGTTGCAATGCCCTAGCTACGAATTCTATCAACCCCATTTCGGAGCATGCACGGCGTTCCTTGTGTTTGTCCGGCAGCTCGCAACTCACGCCAGCGCGCAGATGTCCGTCCGTCAGCAGACACAAGACGAACTGGACCTGCATGCAGCCCAACTGTCGACATGTCCATTACCATGTGTCTGACGATGACGAGCGGTAACACCAGCTCACTCCACGCAAGTTACAACCTTGTGTCTATATCCGTCAGACGCGCAACGAGGGTCCCCCACGTATCGCATGCACCCTCCCAAGGCTAAGCACAATAGGTGGCGGCCGTCCCAGATCGTCCGACGCTAACCGTTCGGCCACTCTACGTTGCGTGAGCTCGCCGGCCGACTACCCTGACGAACGATGCTGCCAGTATTGGGGCACACGTAAGGCCATTCCGTTCGACCATACCGTAAAGCGTCGGCCTCGCCAACATGCCCCGACCGCTTGCCAGAAGTGAACACCGGCACAGCTGCTGTCAGCTTGCTGCCGACGCCAAACATCGTACGGTTCATGGCCCCGCTATACATCCTCCGTGTGCGTGCGCGTGTTCGCGCGTGCTCGGCGCTTGAGCATGCAGTTGGTTCGGTAACTTGCATGCATTGTTGTGCCGAGAGCTTTGCTTGTTTTGGACGATCAATCTCAGATGTTTTGTGCCTAATCCCGTTTTGTGCTAGGGACCTGAAATTGGTCCGCCAGCGCGGAGCGGGCTCTGCAACACAAACTTCATTTAATTAGCTCAGCATCCCGTGTTAGGCGGTGGCAGGTAGCCACGGACATATAGCGAGCCCAGCCATCCATCAGAGAACGTCGGGGGCGCTATTTGCATGATCACGGTTGAGACAGGTTACAGCACGCCAGCAATACCAGACCCGCCTACGGCTGTCGGTCAACCGCAGGCGCAAGATGGTGTCACCGTTGGACCCCTAACCCCACGCAGCACCGAACTTGCCTGGGCTCCTACCCAGTCCATTCCGCGGACCCCGCACAATGGTAGCAAAATTGGTCACAGTTAATAATTTGCAGGCGGTAACACGTATCAGATCAGATTTTTATTACGAAAGCGGCGACCGGCCTTCTAATGTCAAGGTTGTAATAAGGGTAATGGTCCCGAAGGAACCCCGTGTTTGTAACATAACGACTCACCTTAATGAGGCAGCGCACACCACTAACGTGCATGAATGGTTACTGCGCAAAGTCTCTCCAATGCATGTGCGTCCGACACCACTTCTGGACAAGTCTGCTGGGAGAACAGTGTGCCTGCCATCCCAAAATATGCGTTGAGTCTGTCCACAACACTTGCCCGCTGCGGGCAGGGCGCGTCCTCTCGACTGCTGTGATGTACAGATCTGGAATCTCTAACTCTGACGCCACCCGGGTGTTGAGATTCAGATCTTTGTCTTTTGTCAGTGCACCGACACGAGCAGGGCATCAGATTATCAGCCCCTGCCTTTTAGTGCTCCGCCTAGCGAGTGACTTCCGGGCGCGGCGCGGGAGGGATCGCCCACAAGGTGGGTCCATACGCCTCCGTGTCTCGTACTTACTAACTCCGGTAATTGTGTCCAGTATTTTTTCTTGTCGCCCGACGTAATGACGCCGCGGCTTGGCCGGTGTTATTGGCAAACGTCGGTCAGTAGTGCTCGCTCCGCTAACACTGGTCCAGCCCGAGACTCGATCTCCGGGTGGCAGGAACGGCGGGTTTTGTCTCGCTTTGCTTGCGGTTTTGTTGGTGAACAATCTTTGCGACCAGATAAGCGGGCGGGCGTTGTTACACGCATTGCGCACACAGCACCAGCGAGCAGCCCAGAAACGACCGCGCTTCGATGACTCCGCCGGCAGTGCTACCAATTTCGTGGGGCGATTTCCACGTATCGCGGTGTTTGATGCATGCGCCGCGCGGGTGCAAACAGTGATGCGAGGTTACCTGCCCCGGTTCACAGGTTGAGTGTCCTTACCGGCTCTCTGGCCAAACAAAATCAGTGCTCCACGATGCACTCCGTGCTGACACAATCGATTAGGGACAAACGGAGGTCCCGCCTCTCGCAACCCGGCACGCAACATGCGCATGTCCTGTCTCAGCCGCCGCCGCCGCAGGAGGCGGAGTCCTGCCGTCCTCGGATATGGCACGGCCACACCGGGCGTAGTGCGAGAGATGAGACACGACTAGTGGGCTGCAGACGTCAGGCGGGGCAGCCACATCCTCGTTCGTACACTGTTCCAGCTACTCGCCAGATGGGGCAGCCTGGTCCTGCACGGGCCGTACCGAGTCGGATGCCTGCGTGATGATGAGCGAAGTGACCCAGTTAACCGGGCTGCACTTGCCTCCGGTATGACCTGGCGATGGAACGTCACGGAACGCCGCGCGCCGCTCACTGCCCCAAGCATTCCCAGAAAGGTGCAGGAAGCCACGGATGCATTGCTCCACAAGGAACAGCGGGTATTGGGATGGCTAGGCGAACTTAGAAATATGGGAAATGTGCCGCTCAGCCTCTGTGATGATGATGAACACGATGGTGTGGTTGCTGCGTGCAGTTAGCCCGGTTGTTCTAGAAGTAGAACCCTACATAACGATAGCAGGCTTACCACTAGAAACGGAACGAGGCACAGTGGTAAACAGCAAGGCGCCGAAGCTTATACAAACCGTAGTTGAACCGGCTCCATCTTAGTGCTAGACCCTGAGTAGCAATTCATGAAACCAGCTGGGAAGGCCTCGCCGAGATGGAGCGTTAACGTTCGTGGCAAGTTTAAACGGGGCCAAACTGGACAGATGAATGACATAGGCCTAGCAGAACACGGGCAGGGGTACGTGATATTGGAGAAGTGCATACGGCTCACGGAACAAGATTGTGAACATGAGATGCTGGTGAATACATTGAGTCGAGCTGAGGTTGAACGTTGAACGTTGACTGTTCATCAGTGTACGTACGGAGCGAGATATTAATCATGGTAGGTACACAGCTGTTGGCCGAGCGGGCGTGTGCTCGACTCAGCGGTGGATCAGGATACAAACCCATCTAACCCGCCCATCGTTCCCCGTCTTCTTAGCAGTGCTATCTTGCGTCGTTGAGGGAAATAGCGGGCTGGAGGCGAAGAATGTCTGCTAGAGCGATAAGCAGTGACAAAGCTGGCAAACAAACGACTGGACTGCAAGCGCTCACAAAAAATATTTTGCACGGACATGAATGGGTCCGGGGAGGTGAGAGAAGACGACTGCAAGGTGTACGTCCTCACAAAGAGGCGGGTCCGCTGCGAGACAGTCTCGCGCTGGTGCGTTGCGCCGTCGTGACGATTTGAAGGTGTCTCCAGATGTGCACAGTGCACCAGCGCATGCAGGACGCGCTTGTATCAAACGGTCGAGATCCGCCAGTTGCAGAGGATACCATGCTTTTACAGCTGAAGGCACCATGATGTCTGCCACCAAGGTCGCTGACAGTGCAAAGGCAAGGGCGGAAAGCGTCGATCAATTACGGCCTGGGACGCCACAAACATCAACAAAGAAACACCGCCCGCCACGCAGTACGGTGACGAGCGAACTGCAGCGCTCCTAGCCGTTTCGATACTGATAATTCATCATCTAATGGTATATATTCATACATTCACGATATATGCACGATCTAAACATAACAACAGCGATCCCTATCGGGTGCAGGACGAATGCAGCCAGCATTGTTCCATGTCAGCGGGTGCTTACTCGCAGGCGACAGACCAGCCCTCGAACTCCTCGCGGCCCCACTGTATGTTGGTCATCTTTTTGTGTATAGCGCGTGCAACCGGACCCATCTGGATATCATGTTTAGGCAGTTCGATGTCATCCTTGCCCTCGACACCAATGCGACCGACGGAAGCGACAATAACAGCTGTGCCGACAGTGAAAACCTCGAGGAGACGGCCATCCGCCGACCACTGTGCAACTTCCGAAAGTGTCACAGGGCGTTCCTCCACATGAACCGTCTGCGGGATGCCCTCAATCGTTGTCGATGTGCCGTGCGCCTGCAAGAGGCGGATAACGGAATCACGGGTAACACCAGGGAGAATAGTGCCGTCGTCTGGTGGTGTGTAGACATCAAGGTCTGGCATGTTTGATAAGCCTACTGCTCTTTGATCGAGCCTTCTAGGAGACGACTCACCGTCATCGTCACGCTTCAGCACAATGAAGAAGTTCATGGCACCGGCCTCCGTGATCTTGTCACCGATGAGCCAGAGGACCTGGTCGTACCCCCGCTTCGCTGCCTCCGCCTGAGGCATAAAGGTTGGAGCGTAGTTTCCAGCGAGCTTGTAACCACCCGTGCCGCCTGGCCATGACCGAACGTGCTCCGATACTGCCATCAAAGACAGCATACGGGACACACGGAAGAAAGGACCCGTCGGGCCACATACCACGTACAGGAGGGCGTGGTCCGATGCCGCAACACCGAGCGCTATGCAGATCATGAGGTCAGTCATGAGACGTCAAAAGAAGCGCAATGACGCGGTGACTTACAAGGCCTGGTACCGATGATCGTGGGGCGAACGTACAGGGTGTGGTCTGGAGCATTGGGGAACCAACGCCGCTCAATCTGGACGAGTTTCTTTATGATCTTGAGCAACTCGTCCGTATCGAAGCTAGGTAGTGCGACACGATCACGTGAACGCCGCATTCGAGTCATGTTCATATCCGGGCGGAAAAGACGGGCTTTGCCATCGGGGCCAATGTATGCCTGCGAATGGTTTGGTTGCGGCGAAAGGTAGAAAGCATACGAAGAAGACGCACCTTCATACCCTCGAACAAGTTCGTGGAATATTGGAAGCACGAACAGACAGGGTCGAGAACGAAGGGTCCATAGGGCTTGATCTCGGGGTCTGTCCAGCCAGTCACTGGGTGATACGTTGAGACCATCATATGGTCGGACATATGCTATTCAAACTCTCAGCTGCAGTTCCTGAGGGTCTAGCAGCGGACGCACCTTGCCAAACGCCAGGTCATCCAGAGGCGGCATAGGCTTCAATGTCTCGCTGAGGGTAACTTTCAGTTTAGAGGCCTGCAAGAAACGCGTTAGTGGATAGAATGTCGAGTACGAAGAGAGTAGCAGACGCGCGTCGAGGGGTGCCGGCTGTGATTCAGCCTGCATGGCGTAGCCATTGCCTTCGCTTCCGTTGGCCATGTTGAGAATTGATAAAGAGCGTACGGGAGGGTAGCGAGCGAGGAGGAAGTAGTGGTGTGAGCGTGAGTTCGCCTGACTCCATTGTGAAGCCACAATTCGTCGTGACTCCGCAAGAATTTTCTGGTTTGGGAGCCGGCAGAAAAGCGATCGACTAATTCTGTAGTGACAGTATCTGGGAGATATTGAACGTCACGCGGGCGCGATTTCGGTCATTCGGGAATCTGATCGTTCAGCGTTAGTTTTTGTCTGACCATGTCATACAAGTCTCAAGATACTCCGCATCTGAGAATCTGGCAATATTCTCCTTGCCTCCTTCATCGCCCCTCGAGCTCGAGTGTTATCGGCCCACCAATCAGATTACAATTCTACCTCTACGCAACACCTTTGGCACATAATTTCGAGTCCCTTATTAAGCTTGCCGGATGCATCATGCCCATGTCAACCACTCCGCCCACATATGCCGGCCGGTCTCGCTGAACTGCTCGAGGCTGATCAGGCTGCGGCTTCCGACCAACTAGAGATGAACCCGCTAGGGTCTATTCACGACCCGCAGCTACCTAGCAATCCGCCCGACCAGGTATTTGACAACTAAACTGGGGCAGCCAAGTTCACGCGTTCATTCTTCTGAGTGATCACTACCCGCGCAAGCAGAGATGCTCCTTGCGCCCTCAGATAGCTCTGGTACCGAAGTATAAACTGGTTCGGAGACGCAGTGGTCTCCTTGAGGACGACGACAATACTAGCAGCGTACCGGTCCTGTACGGGCAAAGGTATCAGTGAGCTTGATGATGAACCGTTCTCCGTCCCGCAGCCTGCTGCTCCAGCATCCGCCATGGCTGAATGTCCCGCAGCCTATATTATACATATGTTCTACTGTAGTCTTCCGCCATTCAATGTGCACTTTTATGTATTGAACGCGAACGAAGTGAGCTCTGAGGCTCTTTGGGCGCCAAATTGTTGCGGGGCGGATTTCGCGTTGCGCAAAATCATGATTTCGGCCGGACGCATTTCAGACAAAAACCAAGCCTCAAAGATCACGAAAGTCTGAATCCCAAAATCTGCCAGATCTCGAGCTCCACAGTCTCATCCGTGCAGCTGTGTACGGAGATAAACAGCGTTCAGACCGTGGTGAACTTTAGACGATGGGATGCACAGAGAAGTACTCCCTCCGTACTGACCACTACAGCAACAAAATGCTATAATGCCAAAGAATATTTTACAAGCAGCTGAAATCCTCCTTAAAACTAGGTCGACGTCAGAGATGAGCGAGAGCAAATAGTCTTGACACGACACGGCAAGAGATTTCGATCTAATCTAATCTAGGTATGAGCGCCTGCACGCCTTGCTTTGAGCTCTCAGCTCTTTCTCCCCACCGCCACACAACTTCGCATAGCCCATCATGATAGGTCCAGACATACCAGCGCATATACTACAAAATAGGCCCACTACTTCAGAGGATGACCTTGAAGAGGCTGGGCCATCTCAGCCACAGCCAGCAACGATTGGTCCTGTGATCCCTCCGGGACTTGGGGACCGTACCCCACAGGCTATCAATGAAGACGAGGACGACGAGGACGACTATGTTCCGGAGCTCCCTCCTGACCTGGCAGCCTCACGCTCCAAACAAGAAGTTAGCGGCAAGCGAGTTCAGGGTCCTTCGTTCCCTTACACCCTGCCAAAACCACGTTTTGACGATGACGAATCCGATGAGGACGTCGGACCTATGCCTTTGCCTGGTGGAGTGATCTTGGAAGAGAAGGATGGTGTGACTGAATTTCTGGAGAAGGAAGAGCGGAGGAGGAAGCAGATCGAGGTACGTCGTGTCGTACTTTCCTTGTGTACCCATTTCGAACTCGTCAAGTACGGCCTGGGTTCTCATGTCATCTAGGAAGCCTCAAAGCCAAAGACTTTGCAACGTGAAGAATGGATGCTGAAGCCTCCGTCATCATCTGACCTTTTATCGTGTACGCATCTGGCTATCTACCATCTGGAGTATATGGTAACAATGCACGAGCAGCTATCGACCCCACGAAATTGACAAAGCCTCGTCAATTCGCTCGCACGTCGGCACCGTCACGCGACGTAGACTCCTCCCTCTGGACAGAAACTCCAGCTGAACGTCAAGCACGTCTAGCGGACGAGGTCTCTGGCAAACGTCGACGTGCGGTAAACGCCGATCCCGAACTGACTGAAGAGAAGCAGCTTGAAGCCAGGAAACGAGCCAGATATGAAGAAGAAATTCGCAAGGGCGTGGACGAGCATACGGTCAGAGATAAAACTATCGTCGAACGATCAGAGTTATTGACGCAGTAACAGAGGAGAGCTCGCGGCGCGGCTTTGCTCGAGCAACATGCTGAGGACTCCGCTAAGGCTGATCAGAAGAAAGATGAAGGACCGCCAGTCATCTGGGATCATAGCAGAGACATGGCTTTGGGCGGCAAGCTCTTGGATGACAAGACGAGAGACAAGTTCATCAAGGATGCCCGTGGTTTATCAGACAGATTTGGATCAGGGAAGAGTGGCAGTTTCTTGTAACACTTTCACGGACTACGCAAGTACCGCTACATCAGTTAGCGATGCACTTAGCTTCCGCAACGTGTTTATACCTATCCGCGTTGTTGTATGTTATCCACCCTTCCGTTAGTTCTTAATCCCGGTCAGCTTCGCGGTCGTCTTCAATGCCTGCCGCAAGACATGCTGCATTACTTGTGAAAAATTCTTCCTTGTCCCTAGTCCACGACTCGCGCAAACGACCTGCGCCTGGCCGTGTACCATCTCGGACTGATCGAGGTGCGTTATAATCCTCGAAGACCCTGCGACGTACACCCTGAGTCCTGACCACCCCGGAAACGCCTCACAACATGATATGGACACTTCCTAGCACTATGCTGTAGCATGTTGCAAATCGAGGTCCATTTGTAACAGTGGAGATGTTGTACATGAGTCTACGGGGAGGTCAGATATCTTGTCGGGGTGCTCAGTGCATGGCATTGGCGAGCGGGGCCGCAAGCCCCGGTCTTCAGAATTATGATCAGGTCTTAATTAGGACGGTGGACGTCGGGGAGTATTACTTAATATGCTTGCGCTGACCGACATCGGGTTTCGGGTTCCAGACAACCGGAATCACAACCATGAGACTATTCCGGTGCCGTCCCTTATAATGCTCGTGTCATGCGCGCACGACACTCCTATCCCCACAGCTTCACCAAAACCAACCTCACCAGCTTTAGTTGAGTGCTCAAGGAGATGGCAACCCAACGTCTTTCGCAGATTTCTGGGCACCTCACAAACAGCTACCCGAGAGGCTTGCTGAAGGACGAGGTTGCTATCATTACTGGTACGTCATCCGCAATTGTTGGAAGGTTCTCGAGGCGAGCTCGATGGTACATCTAGGTGCTGGCCAGGTATGCATCGTCAGCCAGATATACTCTGGCTATGGCTAACGTTCCGTCTGCAGGGTATCGGGCGTTGCGCTGCCCTCCTCTTTGCAAAGGAGGGAGCGAAGGTTGTCGTTGCTGAGTGCGTTGAATTTCCCATGGATGGAACACCAAGTCCACTCATAGCGACTTAGTCTCGAGGAGAAGAAGGCCCAGGAGGTCGTAGATGAGATCAAGGCGCAAGGCGGTGAGGCTATTGCTATCGGCGGTGATGTCGCTGCAGACGATTTCCCGCAACGTGTCCTGGATGCGACTATCAAGTATGTCCCTTGAGAGATTGTTCAATTAGATCCTCACAGATTGGACTGCAGGAAGTATGGCAAGCTTAACCACATAGTCAACAACGCGGGCTTCACTTTCGACCGGATGCTTCACACAACTCCAGATGATGCCTGGGACGTAATCCAGAAGGTCCACGTCCGCGCGCCGTTCCGCCTCATTCGTGCTGCCGCCCCATACATGCGCATAAAGGTAAGTCTATATACTTAGTACACGGCTTCTCTCATCCACTTCGCGATCTAGGGAGATAATCGGGAGAATCGCTCGATTATCAGCGTCTCTTCAACAACAGGCCTGCACGGAAATGTCGGCCAGGCGAACTATGCAGCAGCCAAGTCTGCTGTCATCGGATTCACCAAAACGATATGCAAGGAGTGGGGTCCCTTCGGCGTGCGGGCAAACACCGTGGCATACGGCTATGTCCTGACACGTCTCACCCAGGCGAAAGAGGCCGGTGCGACCATTGAGATAGACGGCAAGAAGGTCGCGCTTGGCATTCCTGGTGGACATTCATCTGTTACAAACACCAAGCAACAGGGTGGTGGCTCAAGTGCACAGCCGGGCATCCCGCTTGGTCGCGGAGCTACTCCTGATGAAGCAGCCGCAGCAATGCTCTTCTTGGCCTCGCCGCTAGCATCATTCGTCTCGGGGCACACCTTGGAGGTCACCGGAGGTGCTGGTATTTAAAAAGACTACTTCATGGTGTTTGTGCAGTCTTCAGTAGCTTTGCACACTGCGAGTCAGCATATTTATAGTATGCGACCTGCTGTTATAAAACGGTGGCTAGACTCAACGCTTGGGTTGTGTATGTGGCACGGGCGAAACGGCGTACGTTCAGCCATCTGGCCTATTTTGGTTCGGTTAAAACGCTTGAGATCACTCGATCTGGTTCGACTCGAGGAGCTGTGCCTCTTCTGTGACGCCCGTCGCCATCGACCTTGCAGCTTTCTCTCCGACGTCGTGCACGACGACAAGCACGCTCTCTGCGGCGCCCTGCGACCCTCTTAACTAAAAGCCGTTTTGTCTCACATCCGGCTCTGATCTGATTCTTTCTGTCTCCCTGTCTTTGTCGCTCGTTTATATCGCTCTCAGCCACTATGGGAGTCCAATTTGGCTCCTTCGACAGTATATGCCAGACCGCTGCACTCGTCATCTGTCCTCTCGTGGGCCCTGACAGAGGCATAGAACCCTCGTGCTACAGCAGGAATGTGGAAATTGCTGGGACCCTCATCTTCCAACCCTGTGGGTGTGACGCTCTCACTGTCTGAACACGCCGTACTGACCCGTGCATGCAGCAACATGCTTCGTTCACATTGTCGCTATCATCATGACCGCTATCATGATTTTCCATATACGAAGCAAGTATACGGCAGTCGGTGAGTTCAGATTACATGCGTATATGCGTGCCGCAAGTGCTCAGGGAGTGTAGGACGGAAGGAGATCATCATGTTCTTCTACCTCTACGCCATCATTGAACTCCTCGCCATCTTCCTGGACTCTAACGTAATTCCTACTGCAAATGTTAGCTATCCTGTGAGTACCAAGTAGCCTTGAAATCTATCTCGCCTCCAGCTGACAGTTCATATAAAGTGGTTTGCAGCCGTGTATACAGGGCTCGTGGCGGCAGCCTACGCTTGTCTGCTTATCAACGGCTTTGTCGGATTCCAGTTCGCGGAAGATGGGACGCCATTATCGCTCTGGGTATGCCTGTCAGAGTTTCAGCGTGATGAGTCGGCGCTGATATACCATGTAGTTCCTCCGTATATCCTGTCTCGTTGTTTTCGGTGTCAGCTTCTTCGTTGCGATCGCAACTTTCAAAGAGTTCGCCGGCTTCAAGTATGCCACGCCAATCGGCCTTTGGATCATCTACATCCTGTGGCCACTCATCTGCGCGGTCATCTACATCGTCTCGCAGCTCATTATTGTCTTCCGTACCCTCGAGGACCGCTGGCCGATCGGCGACATCGTCTTCGGTACTGCCTTCTTCACCATCGCACAGGTCATCATGTTCGCCTTTAGCGTGACCATATGCGACGCTATCAAGCACTACATTGATGGCTTGTTCTTCTTCACGCTCTGCATGCTCTTGAGTGTCATGATGGTCTACAAGTACTGGGACAGTATCACGGTACGCTTCGTTTATTCGGGCTCAATGGATGCAGCGACTAAATGCGATATAATAGCGCGAAGATCTTGAGTTCTCCGTCGGGTCGAAGGCCACTGTATGGGAAGTTAAGGACCCTCTTCTCGCTGGCGCAGAGGAGCAATACGAAGACACTGCCAGCGGGTATCATGGCCCAGGCAGCCTTGTCGGCGGCGTCAGCGGTGGACAGCTGTACCAAGCTGCCGGCGGACGTGGATACCCACCTTCTGAGAGATATTGATCAATTAGTGCCATGGACACTTAGAACTATCCTCGTAGTATCATATATTTTCTAGCTGTGATTCGCTACGGTTAATGCACGTTCAGCCTTTGTATAGCCGGAACACTCCCTTCAATACGCTGTATATCAGACATTTTCTATTGCTTTCATAACTTCTGTTGTTTCCAAGCGCGAAGTTAAATGCTAAACTTGTGCCAACGCTGAGACAGGCGGGAAGGTAGTCTCGTAAAGCATGGATACGACGTCAGGTTGGGTCTGGTTCACGAGGCTAGCGGGATTAAGGACAGCTCTTGTCGTGCGGCACGCTTGAGGTACCCCAGGCAGACGTTTTTGCCAAGCTTGACACTTTCGAGACGCTGGATGAATTATGACTGGGACTGACTCAGTCTCGTGTATTTAGACTCATGCCCTCGTTCTTATCCGCCCCCTTATCACATCCTGCAGAATGTCGGCCTATGACATTGCTGGGTACGCTGCCGACGCTCTGGCTTCCTTGACTCCTGAGGAGATCGAATTTCTGCGCGAGCTGCCGAAAGCAGAGTTACACGCCCATCTAAATGGCAGCATCCCGATCCCACTGCTACAAAAGATCGCAAACGAGGCCGACTTCTCCTCCTCTGCGATTAGCTCTGATGCAGTAAAAGCTGGTATCGAGCAGCTCAAGACCGGCGTTGTGTTCAACGAACTACACGACTTCTTTGGGCTCTTTCCCGCCATCTATGCTCTGACCGCAACGCCGGAGACTCTCGCGGAGGCTGCCCGCGCCGTGCTTGCTCAGTTTCTCGAGCCTGACCCCGTCTCACCGAAAGGCCAGCCCATGGCGGCCTATCTCGAGCTGCGTTCGACACCCCGGACGACGCCCAACATGTCACGCAAACAGTACCTCGAGGCCGTCCTTGACGAGGTCGAACGGTACCCCGTGGAACGGGCTGCGCTCATTGTCAGCTTAGACCGCCGTATGGATGCGAAGACTGCGGAGGAGATCGTCAGTCTAGCCATCAAGCTGAGGCAGGAGGGGAGGCGTGTTGTGGGCGTTGATCTCTGCGGGGACCCCCTAGTGAGTGTTCTGCTTTGCTAAACGAATGTATCTGCGTGCCAACGATGCCCTTTCAGGCGGGAAACATGGACAATTTTGAGCAATACTTCAAACGTGTGAAGGAAGCAGGGCTTGGTGTGACTTTGCATATCGCTGAAGTGTGTTCATCTTCGCTACTTCGTCTCTGGTGGCTGACACCAGCCTCTGCAGACCTCTGAGAACACGCATGAGGATACTCTGAAGCTACTCTCCTTCAGTCCAGACAGGCTAGGGCATGCCACATTCCTGGATACAGACGCGAGAGATGTTGTCTTCTCGAATAACGCTTGCGTCGAGATCTGTCTCTCGTCCAACCTCCTGTGCAAGACTGTGAGCATCCTTGAAGAGCATCACATTAGGCACTACCTGGAGGCAAACCACCCAATAGCGGTCTGCGTACGTCTTGGTGTCCTTTATCAGAAAGATCTAGTTGACTTCATATAAACCTTGGCAGACGGACGATACCCTTCCTTTCCGAAATAACCTGCTTGGCGAATATGCTTTGCTTCTTGCGAAGGAGCCTCTGGGCCTCGGATTGACTAGAGAGGAAGTTGAGCGCATCGCGCGTATGAGTATGGCCTCGCGCTTTGCCTCGCCTGTTAGTAAGACGGCTCAATAGTCGGTGTACCTATTGCTGGTATACTTGAACCTTCATGACACTCACTTCATGCTGCCTTAGGCAACAGTGTATTCTTTAGATTCTCTAGGTTTGAGTCCACAATTCAAACCAATTACATGTAACAAATAATGGTGAGTGCACGAGCATGCCTGACATCGACGCTACTAGTAGTGACAGCAAGTGAAATATCTGCCAACGATCTTCCGCGACGTTCGCTCACAGTGTAGTATCATCTCGCTGTTCAAGTTCTTGTTCAATATAATCCGCCAAATTGAGGTCGTGGGTCACCGGCGATACTCGCCAGGATATGGATGATGGACATTCGCAGCCTTTCATCAGCAGTCTACAGAGTATCTTGCACAGCGTTCGCGGGCCGCGCTCATGCACCCCTCGCATTGCATCAGCCGACGTCGGCATTGAGGGAGCATCCCGTGCTCTGAGTGCTTCTATCCCCGGCGACATTCTTGTACTTCAGCCGCTTTTACGACCGTGCCAGTCATACATCATCATGGGGTCCTATTGTCACCGAAGAAGGTGTGAAATGTGTCACTGTTTCGTCTATTTACATTTAATGACCAGCCCGAAGTGAATCGCATCAAGGCGGCGCAGCTCGTCCGCGATCAAGTCTGGAAGCGCTTCTGGTATCATGCCTCTCATAGACGGGCTCACAAAACCTGGATTAATGCCCAGAGGCGCATCGCAGGAAAGCTAAACGGCGTTTTAACACTCGCAAAACGAGCCTACAATTCAGTAGAAGCTGATGGCTCTCGTTTGGCGTTCATGCATCGACCTCCGCCTTTGTGTGCTTCGACAAACTCTCCACCGAAAGATTCCCACAGGTCACTATGGCCGGTGAGGCACGTTTCATCGCTAACTCAACCCACCCACAGCACAGGACGTGTTAAGAGACCACAGGGGCTTCACGGTGGAACGCCTGTGGAAGGGCATATAAGGCGGCCAGCAGCTGGGCAGATCCTCAGAGCCAGGTCACCCAAGCTCCTTCACTCATCGAGTCTTTGCTATGTTCCCCAGCGCACAGCTCCTTGCCCTTGCCGTCTTCGCGGCCATCTCTACGGGTGATACACACTATGTTGACTGGGATGCTCAACTCTGACCTTCTTTGCGTTTTGTTCAGTGCACGCTCAGACCTTGCCAACCAACTGTGCTCGAAACTACACCGTGCAGGCTGGCGATATCTGCAATTCCATCTCGGCCGCCCAACACGTCTCCACGTAAGCGGCCTTATGCGTTCATTACGGCGGTCGCTCACCCTACCATTAGGTTCCAGCTGGCGCACGTCAACACGCAGATTGATGCGGCATGCGACAATCTTTTCGTGGGCGAGGTATACTCGAATGTTGCTCTGCATGGCCGGTCCCTGATACCACTTGTTACACAGCTTCTCTGCCTAGGCATTACCGGACAGGACTGCACTAGTGTCCACGTTGTCCAGAACGGCGACGTCTGCCTTACGATCGCCAATGAGGCTGACATAACTGTCAATACTCTCCTTGCCAACAATCCCAACGTGAACAGCGGCTGCACCAACCTTATCGTCAATGAGGTACGTCGACATTATGGCCGGCGAGTCACGGCCCGTCGCTCACCTGCTGTACTCGAACCAGGTTTTGTGCACGTCCAGCTCGATCATCAACTACACCTAAGTGCAGGTTGTATGGCTAAAAAGTTTTTTCTGTGCCAAACGTTTTCTATGAAGCTCTTCTTGTACTTGTACGCCCTTGAATGAAAATGACATGTATGTGTTCGTCGTCAGGCGCCGATCCGACGCCACAAAGGCTAACGCGTGACTGGTCGTGATGCGTGACCCCGGATCCAGACTTGGTCCTGTTCGCCCATCACCTCCTCGGGCTAACCCTTTCGCCACTGCTCACCGACTCTCAGACGCAGCGCAATGCTGCAGGAACTCTCTCATATGGACCGCATAACTCAGCTCCAAGATGAGATACAACAGGTACCGCCTTCGCCCGGCGAGTTCAACATTCTCGGTCACCAGCTCATTCTCGAGGCCACAGCTCTTAACCATCATGTCTAGTAGCATTGCGTATTTGACATCGAGGGCAAACTTCATGCAAGTCAGTGAGGATGTACCGGTCACGAAAGCCAGAAATCCGGAGAAAGTCGACTCTCCGGATGTCTTCGAAGGTGCTGGCACTGCCGTAAGCACCCAATCAACTCGCTGACGGCTGAGTTGCAGAGAATAAAAAAGAGCTGGTCACGGATTTGCTAGTGAAGGCGAAACAGGTCGAGTATTTGATAAACTCGCTTCCAGAGCCGGAGTCTGAGGAAGCTCAGGTACGCCTGGACGCATGCAGGGAGAGTTTCTGACATCAGCCATCACCAGGCGATGCGCTTGCAGGACCTCGAACGTCAGATGACCGAAGCTGACGACGACTACGTACGGGCCGTAAATCGCGCAAGTATGTCCATCAGTTCTTTGATCTCCATCCACCGCATTTACCTGTCGCGCCGCAGAAAACTTGCACCGACGGATATCGGAAGTGTTGCGAGACATGCTCGACGAGCCAGACGGACTGGATAATCCAGGGTAAATCGCTTTTTTCGGGCCAGTCTAACGACCAGCGGAGCTGCGCGCGAAGTACTGTTTGTTTGGGCCACGCATGTATATAGACAGGTATGTTTTTGAGAACGCAGGCGTCCCCTTTCACGACCTCAAGTTTTAATGACAGATCCTTCCAGGTCAAGACTGGCATATGTATAGCACCGACACTTGATATTTGTGGCATTATAGATATTGCCGTCAAGCATTTCAGCGTTCATACATGGGCCGTGAATGGTTAGCTTAAGCAGATTGTCGCCTCAACGTCACTTCAATTCGTATATACACACTCTAGCAGTAAGCGCCTCACCGCACGTTCTTACGTCTGATTATGACCGGGCTTCATGCAAGCTTAAGGCGCTCCGCTTTCGCTATATGACCGGGGTACCCCGCATAGAAAGCATAAGGTACCACCGGATTTCTTGGAAGGTCCGTATGTCAAGCTCTTACTTCCGGTGTGACTTGGGATCTGCGCTGATTGACGCTGACGCATACTGTGCGCCAGCCATCCTTCCCCGCGCCCAACGTCGATGAGCTGCTATGCGTCAACCCCGTCTTGGCGTAGGCGTTGGCCAACGGCGTTCAGTTCGTCGCCCAGCCTTTGGACCGCTGCGTCGACGGATCGCTGTCGAAGACGCTAGCTGCAGGCACAAAAGCTGACTCGCGGGCCCCCTTCCTCTTCAGCAAGCTCCCACTCGCTACACCTGGTCTACTCTCGCGATGCCTGCCATTCGCCTCCTCTCCACCACTCTGTTCGCTGCCGGTACCTTGGCTGCTAGCCTGCCCTCCCTCGCGTCCCTCCAGGCCTCTTCCGGCATTTGCGGAAGCGTCGGCGAGGTCAGCCTCAACAAGATTGAGGTCTGGTCCGGGGCAACCAAGCTTGGATTCTTGGCTCCTGACGTCTCGGGCCTGTTGGGCGGGTGAGTGTCGTCGCGCTGCGGACCATCCACGTTGTCGCAGAAGTGACTGAAGTGGACAATGTCAGCGGGTACGGAATCATCAGCCCCGACACTTCCGACGCGCTGACTGGCGTGTTCACGTGCGGAGCTCCGACGAACCCTGTCACCATGGGCGCCGCGGTACGCATATCTGTCTTTGCCGTTGTCGAGAATGCAGAGCTGACTGCCAGTGGCAGAACGCGCAAACCGTGCCCGGCACCAACGTCAACGCCATCGGCCTCATCGCGCCGTACTACCCCAACGGCGGCTCTCCTGACCTGGCCAGCGGCGGCTCCAAGTGCGTTTTACAGTTCTATACGTAGTTTCATAGTGGGAGCTAACCGGTTTCTCCGCGCAGCTGGCTTGCGCTTGGAGCGACCTACGTGAGCCCCAGCGGTGCCAAACCCAATGCGACCGGCATTACATTCGGTGACAGCCAGGCCTGGGTGAGTATTCTTGACGCGTCTTATAATCTCGTTGATTGTTGACTGCAGTAGTTCGAATCTTCTGTGTGGACTACGAGCGGCGGCTACGACGGCAACGGCAACTACCACGACTACATCCTCCATGAGTCCGAGTGTCGCATATTAGCCTTCTATGTGCTTTTGCGCTGACTACATTGCCTCCTGTCAGCCCACTGGGTCAACTCTGACGGAGGTAAGTCTAGCTGTGACGCCCAACGCGAATACTGTTGACACTTCACGACAATTCAGATCTGCCCTCGCTGTTGCTGGCTGCTCTACCGGATCAGGGAGGCATTGTTGTCACTGGCGACTTCAACGCTTTCGCCGACTCTTACAGCTATGTTGGAAACTGGGTGGAGGTGGTACGTGTGTCATTGCTCACCATGACCGTGACTATCTTAATTCCCGTTCAGCAACTTGCTAGCGCCCCCGCTTCGGAGTAAGGATGTAGCTCAGCGTTTCCATCACAAACCGCTGTGTTGGATTTACTTTCGGTGGATCTGCCCCCAGAGATTTATAGTTATTCACCATGTGGTGCTTGAAATATACTATGCGGCGTTTCCCTCAGTGCACGCGGGCTCGTACTAAGTTACCAGAGCGCAGCACATTGACTAAAAATGCAAGCAAGCAAACAGTGGCATCGAATCCAATTTAATAAAACACCTCAGGCGTCAAAGCCCAGAGACAAAGATGCACTTACGAGGCGCCTCTCACGGGGGCGCTGCAACCGAAGGCGACGCGTTCTTCTCATTTCTCATTCGATTTCTCTTCTCAACTCTCTTCTCAATTCTCTCTGCCCGTGCGTAGCACGAGTCACCCTCTCGTATCATATAACTACTTACACAGGCGAGCGGTATACATGAGCGATACCTCGGCGGTAGCATATTGGTGATAGTACTGCGCACGCTGCACATGGAATTACAGTTAGTTGTGACAGGCGAGCGGTAGAGTATCAGCAACGGAGTCTGATTTGATCATGTACCTCCGGCAATCAGCCTTTGCGGCGTCTCAATCCCCGACAGCCGCGGTGGTCCGCCGCCACAGGCGACACTCGTCGCGGCCGTCGCCATCATTAACCCACTTGGTGCGGTCGACAGCGACGACAGCGACGACGACGACGACGCCTCCGTGAACGAGCACAGACAAGGCAGCCTTGACGCCGCCGACTCGGACGTCGGCGTTCGAGACCGTGAGCGCCGCTGTGCCGCCGCGGTTGTGCATCTCGTGTTGTGACTGTGCCTGTCATGCATTGTCATGGGGTATGATATCAGTCAATATTTGTCTGTTCACATCTAATGACCAGTCCGAAATGTATCGCATCAAGGCGGCGCAGCTCTGTGCCTTGTCAGCGGTGCTCAGACTGGTGATGTGACTCACCTTGGCATGCTTAAAGGCGCGTTGCTGAAAGGCTGAACGGCATCCGCACACGCTTACAGCACGATAGAATCTGATGGCCCTCGGGTGATATCCTCCGTCTTTACGTGCTTTGCTGCACCCTCCACAGAAAGCTTCCCACAGGCCATAGGATGGCCGGTCAAGCACGTTCTATTGTCGGCCCCAGCGTATGATGGAAAGAGTGTAGGAGCCCCATAGTGGGACTCGGACGCCTGTGGGGGAGCATAAAAGGCCGCTGGCAGCTGGACAGATCCTCAGAGCCAGGTCACCCAGGTTCCTTCGTTCATCGAGTCTTCGCCATGTTCTCCAGCGCACAGCTCATTGTCCTCGCCACCTTCGCGGCCGTCTCTGCGGGTAATATGCCCTGCGGCTACTGGGATGCTCGACTCTGACCTCCTTTGCGATTTTGCCCAGTTCGTGCTCAGACCTTGCCGGCCAACTGTGCTCGCAACTACACCGTGCAAGCTGGTGACACCTGCAACACTATCGAGGCTGCTCAGCACGTCTCTACGTAAGCGCCTTTGTTCGTTCATTGGATCCACTGCGGTCGCTCACCCTACCATTAGGTTCCAGCTGACGCACGTCAACACGGATATTGATGCGGCATGCGACAATCTTTTCGTGGGCGAGGTACGCTCGATGGTTGCTCAGTGCGGATGACCCCTAATACCACCTGTCACACAGGCTCTCTGCTTGGGCATCACCGGACAGGACTGCACGAGCGTTCACGTCGTTGCGAACGGCGACACCTGCACTATAATCTCTAATGAGGCCGACATAACTACCACCACACTCCTCGCCAACAACCCTAACGTGAACAGCGGCTGCAGCAACCTTTTGGTCGGAGAGGTACGTCCACATGGGCTGGCGGGTCCTTGCTCGTTGCTCACCCGCTGTACTCGAACCAGGTTTTGTGCACGGATAGCCAGATCATCAACTACACCTAAGCGTAGGCTATGCGGTCCCCGTATAGTATCTGCGAAGCTTGTATATGCTGTAGTCTATGTTCTCCAGGCGAAAATGATCATGTGCATGCAGTTTGTCGTTCGCCAACGCCACAAAGGCTAACCCGTGACTGGTAACGCCGCTGTGTGACTCTCGGGGATCCGGACTTAGTCTTGTTCGTCCATCACCTCCCCAGGTCCTCCCTTTCGCCACTGCTCACTGGCTCTCAGACGCAGCGCGATACTGCAGGAACTCTCTCATCAATAGATCGCATACTAACCCAACTCCAGGACTGAACGTAATAGGTATATATCGCTCTGGGCCACCGCGATAATTCTCAGCTACTGTGCACCAACTCATCCTTGACTCCGGAGTCCATATCTCTTAACCGTCATGTCTAATAGCACTGCATATTCGACAAAGAAGGTGGACTTTGTGCGAGTCAGTGAGGATGTACCGGTTACGAAGGCCAGAAATC